ACTATTATATAGTATTGTCATATATTATTGATACACTATTATATAGTATTTTCATATTATTGCAACAATATTATACAGTGCTGTTATATTATTGTAACGCTATTATACAATAGTCACAATATTGTAACACTATTTTATACGTAACGTATTGTCATATTGTTGTGACACTATTATGACTACATAATAGTATAATATAATAATAATAAATAGTGATATACTAATGTGACAATACTAATTGTCATATTAATATATCATTATTTATTATTATTATATTCCTCTCTCTTTTACCCTCTTTCCTACTCTGTCTCCTTTCTCCGTCTCTTTCTATCTCCCTTTCACTCTCTCTCTCTCCCTCTCTGTTTCTATCTCGTCGTCACGCTCATCGTCGTGCAAACAACACACGCTAATATACCTCTCGACTGCATAGAGGGGCGCGAGCCACCACCACCACCACCACCAACACCACCACGGCCGTACTACAACCGTACACGACAGAACCTCTTACTTAGGTGTTCTGTTACCTTACTTTATCCCGGAGCCACGGTCTACGGGGTGACCGGATTGAGACCCGACACCCGACTCGCCGACAGGTGGCCGATCCGAGGACGCGAATACCATTCCGATTTACCTGGCTCGAACAGGAGGCCCGAGCCGATCGTTACCACTCCTGCATGCGATTTTACTAGGTTAGGCGATCGCTATACGTCAATGTAAACACTTCGTTATTTCATTCAGGACTGAAACTTGGTTGTTTGAACGAATTAAAGACATTCGAGTGTTCGGATAGTAGAGATATTTAATTAACTGCTGCGTCGCTAAAGCGAATCGTTAACAATTAATTTATTAGTTTGTATTTCTGAATTTCGAGAGACATGTCTAGTAAACGATTTTCATCAATGTTATTTATTGTTACGTAATATTACATGACATTATTACAATTACATAAATTATTAGAATTAATTATTTTAGTATTTTTCAATCTTATTGAAAATGTCTTATTGAAAAAAGTAAACGATTTTTACAAGTTAGATCAAACGAGACAATTAATTATGGAGAGTTGCAAATTCTGGAGACATATCAAAGAAATATAAAAATATCTAATGATATTATTAATTGTTAATTATTATCAATTATTACTAATATATGATAGTATCTTGAACTTGTCAAAATTGTTAAAGGAAACAATTAATTTTTATTTGATCTCCGTTTCTTACAATCGGCTTGAAAAATATCTATTTAACCAAAACAATTTATAATAATCCTTAGACTGATTTTCGTATTTCTTTAAAAAACATAATCTTTGTATTTTTCAATTTCAACGAACATGTCTACCAAACATTTTTTATATACTGCTTTAACCAAGAAAATTTATAATAATCCTTAGTCTGATCTCCGTGTTTGTTTAAAAAATATCCTGTCTTTACTCTTCAATTGCAACGAACATCTTCGATACGATCGCTTAATGACGATATTTACTGGCAATTACTATACTGCACTTTCAGATGGAAAAATGCTCTCCGAAAAATGACGCGATTCGATATCGAACCTTATAGAATATAAAGTCATCAGAAACATCCGCCTTTCGTTGTACAAAATCTAATAATATGACTTTGCATGTAGATCCACACACTCGATAACCTGCTCCTGTGTTTTCGACATGGTCGAAACAAGGTTCAGCTACCGTGAACTAGCTATCTGCATAACATGATGGGGATGACGATGTCATTATAAGGAAGCCCGCGAAGCGTGATTATAAAGAGAGAATCTTCTAATTGCTTTCACCCCGGCAGATAAGCCATCGCGAACGAACATTTTCATTTTATGCGTCGAAACAACTGCGAATGCATAAATTTTCAATTAAGTGGGATAGTTGATGCGGGAAACAGGAATTACGATATACCGCAGTATTTAACGCCACGTCTTGCAACTGCCCTGATGTATATTCTTATGCAAAATCGACGATAACGTTCCGATCCTAGTTCGCATCGACTGGAAAATTACTAAATAGTGTTGCATTTCTAAATTTCAAGGATCCGAATTTTCGATGTTTCAATGATCCAGCGGTCAAAGTTTTTCAATTATTCAGTGTTCTAATGATACAATGTTTTAATATTCGAAGCATTATCGGCTCAAATTTAGTAATTATCGAATGTTTGAATTATCCAGTATTCAATTAGCCAATGTTCCAATTAAACAGTGATCCAATTATCCAATGTTTCATTATTTCAACCATCGAAGACACGAATTTACTAATTATGCAATGTTACAATTATCCAGTGTTCCAATTACTCAATGTTCTAATTATTCAATGTTCTAATTACTCAATGTTCTAATTATTCAATGTTCCAATTACTCAATGTTCTAATTGTTTAATTATGTAATGTTTTATTATTCCAATCGTCGAAGGCTCATTTTTACTAATTATCCAATATTCCAATTAATCACTGTTCAAATTACTCAGTATTCCAATTATTCATTGTTTAAATTATACAATGTACCAATTATCTAATGTTTCATTATTCCAATTAACCAGTGTTCAAATTGTCCAGTGTTCAAATTATCCAATGTTCTAATTATCTAATACTCATATTATCCAATATTCTACTGACTTAATATTGTAATGATCCAATGATTTAGTTATTCAATGTTTCAATTATACAGTATTCCAATTATCCAATAATATAATGACACAACG